TGACAAGTCCTGTGCTCCATATATGTCATTCACTAGTAATTCATATCCTTGTGTTATTTCAGTTGGTCAATGAAAAATGCTGTCTAACGCAGGCTTAATCTGGAATGGGGTGCTCAGAAGACTTCGCCAGTTTCATAAAGCTGAGCAGCCAGGATTCTAGTGCCACCCAAAGCTGCTTTCCGGCTTGGGCTAGTAGGAAATAATATAGTGGGGGGGGGGGGGGGAGTAAGATTAAAGTCTCTTAATACTTTTTCAGTCAGGCATGTCAATCCCTGGTCTCTATTCGCTATAATTCTGCTTTATTGGAGGCAGAAACTGATTAAGAAAGAGTGCCTTCCACCAGCTTGGATTCCATTACTTTCCCATGATGCCTTGTGCCTCTTAAAAAAATTATTAATTAGCTCTGGCCAGTTGGAGCATTGTCCTATGCACCAAGAGGTGGCAGATTTGATTCTCAGCTAGGGCACACACCCAGGTTGGGAGTTCCATCCCTGGTCCGGGTGCATATGGGAGGCAACCAATAAATGTTTCTTTCTTTCCCTCTCAAATCAATAAAAACATACCCTCAGGTGAGGATTAAAAAATATTTATTATTAAGGTTATTAATCCTTGAATGAAAAGGATGGTTACAGTTAGGCCAAACTAATAAACATCATATAATTTGGGTACTCACAGGAAAAAAAAAGTTTTTCTACCTCATTTTATTGAGAATATTATTTGCTCTTCAATATAAAGGGTGGGGCAAAAGTAGGTTTACAATTATTCATCTGGAAAATAACACAATAATTAAAAGAAATAATAATACAAGAATAAATTCTGTTTCATGTACTCACAACTGTAACCTACTTTTGCCCCACCCTGTATTATGAAGACTACTTAACTTTTAAAATATCTGAAACTTAGAGTTAATGACTGACTCTAGAAACTACACCTTCATATAAATATTTGTCAATTAAATAACTTTACAAACTTAGTCAATGAATGTATATTACAAACTCCCTGCACTTATTATTATTATCAAAATCGCTATGATACTATCCTAAACTCATCAAATATCCCTATAATGTTCCACATGCTATCCCATGGCTACTACTAAATGCTTTGGCTATGTTCTTGCTAATATTTTTTACATTCTTTTGCCTGTGATGAGGTACAGTTATGTACTAGTCAGCCTTTTTAATTTTCATGTGTTTCTATAAGTAAGGTATAGTTTTCTAAGATCCACATAAAGTTAACACTTAGTACTTTGGGCCAACTACTGTTGTAAGCACATTATACATAATAATCAAAACCAGCCTATGAGGTAGTTACAAAGCAGCTTAGGAAGAACACAGGGAGCAAGGGAATTCACTTAGGGATTACTCAGCAGTGAACAGTTTTTATCTAAAATGTCCACAAGCAGTCAGAAAAATATCTGAACAGTCAATGAAACAAACTAATTTCCCATAATTAATACCCTTTTCATATATTTGCTTCCTATCTATAGAAGATTAATTCTGTACTCATTTTGATTCATGTACCACCAAAGTGGCTCAAATTTTATCTGCTAGTAAGAGTTCAAAAGGAAAAGTAAATATAAATTTAAGTGAACACCTTTCTTTTAGACTAGACATAGATAACTTGTTGTCTTGACACCCAGATGCTTTAAGTGGACTTAAATTAGGTCACAGAAGTCTAGATGACCACTGACTGGAATGCTTCCACCACTCTGCAGAAAGTTGTTGGACTTTTTAAACTTTATTTACTGCCAAAGCCGGTTTGGCTCAGTTGATAGAACATAGGCCTGTGGACTGAAGGGTCCCAGGTTCGATTCCAGTCTAGGGCATGTACCTTGGTTGCGGGTGCATCCCCAGTGGGGGATGTGCAGGAGGCAGCTGATCGATGATTCTCTCTCATCGATGTTTCTAACTCTCTATCCCTCTCTCTTCCTCTCTGTAAAAAAATCAATAAAATATATTTAAAAAACAAAACTTTAATTACCACTATTCAGAAATTTTCTAGAAGGTTTAAAAAAAAAAGTTAAATGGAATACAGGTCAAAAGCTGCTAAATATCATAAGAGTCCTTCCATTTCAAGAAAGGCTGAATAAACCATATGGGGAATGAACTTCCAGAGAAGATGTGAAAACATAATACACAGAGACCCAAAGAACCAATTAGATCAAAATTACATGGGATTCTGTGAAAAGTGGTAAATTATGGACCAAAAGCACTATTGTATTTTCACTATAGCTTATATGGAGGCCTGGGACACCCATGGGATTGAATCTTACATAAAATTATTTAGAAAATGCTAAAATAGGTGTTGCTGTTAAAGAAAAATGTTTCCTTTCAGGTTAACTTTTGTAGGCCCTCACTGTTTCTCACTTGACTTATAATATTAGCATTCTAAGATATTCTCCAACTCTCCAATTCAACCTTTGTGTTGTCACTTATCACCCAACAGAGAACCTTCAGCTGCTTGATTCCCCTTTACTCGTAGAATAAAGTTCAAACTTCTTAGAACTGGGTATCCACCCTTGTTCTTTTTCTGGCTACTTTCCCAAATGTGCCATTCATAGGCAAGTGCTTCTTTCACAAACTCTTCCTGTCCCTGACCTAACACCTGTCTCTGTGGTGGTCACATCCTAAACCTACCCTGTGCAGCCCTAATTTCCTCAAAATGCCATGCAATTTCATGCTTCTGTGTCTTTGCATATGTAACCCCACCTAGCTGGAATTACTTTCCCTCTATCTCTCCATTTGTTTTGCCTGATTAAATTAATCAATTAGGGCTCAGACTTAACTTATCTGGGGAGCTTTCTCTGCACCTTCACCCCTGGGTGGGTCAGATGCTCTCTGAATACTGAATGCACTAGACTATGAACTGCTTTAACATTTTTTAGCTGCATGACCTTGGGCAAATTCATTAATTTCAATGAGCCTACTTCTTCATATATAGAATGTTAACATTAATTTGATATCATTATAAAAATGAAAGTGAAAAATCGCTTTGTAAACAGTAAAGCACTATGCAAGCATTGAGAATTTTATCATATGTCAACAGAACAGAATATTCTAGGTGAATATAATTCAGTTGAACAAAGGGAAGATTCAATTCTTGGTTACCAGTACCTTCTCTAAGGATCTCTAAAATGTTATTCAACTTTCTGGCTCCACTAAGTCCTTGTACTTCTACATTCAAAGGAAAAATGCCTATAGTGATGTTTAGGTCATTTGAAGAAAAGATTAAGTGGGGAAATTCCTGAAAGGTGAGGATTGTCCTTTCTCCCCCCTTTCCTAATACCTTTCCAAGCATTCTGGGATATGCACATACCAATACTAGTAGAATGAAAGAGCTGAATAAATGAGTGAATACAGCACACCCTGTCCTTAATAAGCTTATAGTCAAAAGGAGTAAAAAGTGAGTGATGTGACACATCCATTATGTATCTGGCCTTGGGAAAATGGTAAATGCCTTCAATGTCATCTTAAATTGTAGTAAGAAATTAAATCTCTTACTATGCTTATTTTACTTGGGGATTTTATATACATTGTAATTGCTATCATAGTGACTCACTTACCATATGAATGTTTTAATATTATGCAATTCAATATCTACTTAATATTTACTGCACTACCACAGTTCAAGATAAAGGTGATGGACTCTGCTCATAGATACTAAACATAGAAAGCTAAGTCATCAATACATATCATTAATACTAGAGGCCCCTTGCATGAAAATCGTGCAAGAGTAGGCCTTCCTTCCCCCAACTGCCGGCACCAGCTTCTCTCCCAGCTTCCCTCCAGCACCCGGGCTTGGGCTAGCCCGGGCTAGCCCTGACTTGGTCCAAAATGTCAGGTCTAATTAGCACATCACACTTTTATTATTATAGATAAGAAGAATGTTGTAATATGTATGGAGGACCTAAGGCTAGAGACAGTCAACGAGGACATGTGAGTTATGGCAGTGGGCTCTAAAAATTAAAACTGTACATTACAAATTATTGGTGGCCAATAGCTCCTTTTACTATAGAATACTACCTATCCTGCTACAGGCAGTAGCAGGTATTTCTAATAGTGTTCCTCCTTAATATAATTATATGCCTAATTGTGCTGTTATCTAGTGAATAAGGACCCACTGCTAACATATATCACAGATATGAGCCAAGCAGTTTCAAGTTCTTGGGGTGTATTCTCTCATTTAATCCCCGGAACTCTATGAGGTAGTTATCCGTATTTTACAGACCAAGGAAACCAAGGCACAGGCCTTGTCATTTTCCAAAGCCGAGATACAAAATATGCAAACAAAGGCCTAAGAGACAAACACACACACACACAAGTATTCCACAGAGCGAGCGGATGCCCTGGCCAGAACGGCTCCACGCGGCGCTTCCCATCGCTCCCAAACGCACCCGGAAGGAACGCGCGCGGTGTCTCCCTCTCCCTCCCTCTCCGCCGGGGATTCATTCTCTTTCCCCGATTCCACAGCTGAACCGTGGATCCCCCGCAGCAGATCCCCTCCAACATCCCTGCCATCAGAGAACAGGCTGCTGTTTAAATCACAGGCAGCGCCGGGTACAGGAGACCGAATCCGATCCCCAGGGGGAACAAAAGCTCAGGTTAGAATCTCGAAATTCAACCTTTTGGGGCTGGGCATCGGTTCCTGGATGTCTCCGGGTGTGTGTGTGTGTGTGTGTGTGTGTGTGTGGCAGCAGCGGCGGCGGCGGCACAGGCTCACCCGGGAGACGCTGCCCCCCGCAGGCAGGATCCTCTCCGCCTGACCCCGGGCGACTCGGAGACCGACACCTGCTCCTTTACCCTTCACCTGCCGCGGCCGCCGCCGGCGCCGTCTCCAACCTGCGCCTGCCGAGCACCAGGCCTCATGCCTCCTCCTCCTCCCTCCCCTTCCCCTCTCCCTCCTCCGCGGAGGTCAAGCCCCGAGCCCCCTCGGGTGCGGGGTGATCCCCCCCGCAGAGGCCCGCCGGCCCGCCCCCGGCCCGGCCCCGGCCGGCTACTCACGGTTCCAGTACACCGGGTGGCACTCGGCCTGGGCCAGGTCCACCTCGTAGAGGCCGCCCCGCACGCACACGCGCTCCACCGTCACCAGCGGCTCCATCTCGGGCTCGTGCCTCGAGGCGCGGCGGAGGAAGCCGCAGGCGCGGTCCTCGTCCTCGTCCTCGTCGTCCTCCGTCCCGAAGCTGGCGGCCGGCGCCGCGGGGGAGGCCGGGCCGCACACACGGCCGCGGTCCGGGCTCGCGGCCTGCGCTAGGCCCCCCGTGGCCTGCAGCAGGGTCCGGAAGGCGAGCTCGATGCGGAGCGAGTCGTAGCCGATGAAGGGCTTCCAGGTCTTCTTGTCCTCCTTGTAGAACCAGCGCACCTCCTCCGGGCCCAGCTCCGTCACCACCTCGTAGCGGTGCCGGGCGGCCGCGCCGCCGGGCCGGGTGCGCTTCCTTTCGCCGAGACCCCCGCCCCCGGCCCCGGAGCCCCCCGAGTTCGTCGGCACCACCAGCTGCGGCGGCGGCGGCGGCGGCTGCAGTGGCGGCGGCGGCGGCGGCGGCGGCTGCAGGGACAGGGAGCTGCCGCCGCCGCCGCCGCCGCCGCCGCTCTCGCACTCGCTGTAGTAGCGCAGCGAGGAGCCGGACTCGGCCGAACTGAAGTCATAGTTCTCGTCGCTGAGGCAGGGGTCCAGCGCCAGGTGGTGGTTGAGCTCCTCCGCGCCGGGCGCCAGGTGCAGCCCGGGCTCCCCGTGCAGCAGCGCCAGGGGCACCTCGCCGTCGTCCGGGTCCCCGCCGGGCAGGTGCTCAAAGCAGCGGACGCCGCCGCCGCCGCCGCGGAACGCCGGGTCCGCCTCCGAGCCCAGCTGCCAGGCGGCGGCGCCGCTGCTGTCCCGGCCGTTATGCTCCGGGCTGAGCGGGGACCCGAGGCCCGGGTAATTCATGCTGAGGGAACGCCGCCGCCGCCCCGGCGCGCGGCGCTTCCGCCACACGTTCGCCGCCGCCGCCGCCGCCGCCGCCCTCTCCAACGCGACTTTTTAATCTTTCAAATCCCGACCGGGGCTGCGGCGGCTGCAGCGGCGGTGGCTCCGCCCCTCCCGAGACCCGCGTGCCGCCGTGCGCCCCATTGTCACGCAGCCCGGCGTGGGCGGGGCTTGGACCTGGCCCCGCCCCTCCCGCCCCCCCGCACGCGCCGCCCCGGAAGCCCCCTGCTCGGGTCCGCGCCGCGGGTGAGCCGCGCTTCCAGCTCCTCCGGCAGCTGGTTCGGCGTCAACTCGGGGCACCCAACCGCCCTGGGGGGGGGGGGGGGGAAAGGGGAGAGTTCGAGGCGCTCCTCTGATCCCTCAGTTCTTTTCCGCTTGTTTCCTGGCTTTACTCCCTGCACAGCTGCCTCGGCCTCCGCCCTTCTGGGAGTCAGCCCAGATGTGGAGGGGCTCCCCCACCAGTCCCGCCATGGCAACCGGGGACCGCAGACCCAAGGTCCAATTAGGATACAGATCGTGGGAGCCCTAGTAGTTGCTTTTTTTCTGGCTTTGGTTTTGTGACCTTTAGACCCGCCTGCGGCCCCAGCTGGATCTTCTCAGTCACCTGGTTCTGGTCCTTCCAGAATTGTCAGCCCACAATAGGGCACCCCGCCCCACTCCTCATGCCTACCAATTCCTATCCTTGGCGTCATCACACCCACTCGGAAACCCCATTCTAAACCTCCCTTCATTGGGCCACCTCCTCTTATTGCTTATCTTCCAGTACTTATTTCCTGTTTCCTCAACCTTAGTGTAAAGCCCTCGTGGAGACAAAGTCAATATGTCTCCACTTCTCCCACATAGTGGGTACACACTGTTTGTTATAATGCTGGTAAGTCCAGCCACTTGTGATAGAAAGATGGTTGGATTGAAGCCAGAAACCTACTAGGTTCTAGACTGACTTTTGCTAAGTAGCCTCAGGCAAGGCACTTATCTCCTTGATCTCTTTGATTCTTCATCTATGACAGAAATTCATTATTGGATGAGGTGTTCTTTAAAGTCTCTTTTAGCAATGGAATTCTGTGATTTGCAAGGTTTCTTCCCATTCTTTATGTATCTCTGATTCTTTATCTCATTTTCTGGGTTCAGTTAAAATGTGGAGGCTCCACTTTTATATATATAAAAAAAACCAAAGTTGTATAACCCTGTATTGACTTATATTAAGAAAATCTCCAACCTCAGTATTCTCAACTCAACATCAGACAATATTCACTGTTTTTTCCTCTCTCCCTTTGTGGTAGAACTAGATTAGTAGGACCGTTTTATTGCTGGCATCTAACATGTCAGAGATTTAGTTATTTAAGCAGAGCAATCTCAAGCTTGTACAGTGTCTTTGTATGAGTTTGAAGGAAAAAAAAAAAGGCATTGCTTTCTGTGGGCAGATAGAGAACCATGTATATGGACTGGATTTCTGTTCCAATTTGTGCCCATGGCTGGATAATCTTATGCAATGAACAACCTGCTCAACTGGACACGATGGCCTTGACTCAAAGCAGTTAAGATCAGAGCTCTTGTTTTCATTTATATTCCTTTCTGAGAATTTGCTTATCAATTTCTTCTCCAGTCTTTCTGTTGACAATGTGCAGAATATAAAATCAGGTTTGAGCTTTGATCTACTTACTAGTGATGAAAGCATTCATTCTAGTGTTTTGAAGGTCACCAATATGTCAGGCATCTCTGGTAGGTTGTGATACAAAAGAGAATGGAAGAGTTTCTTCTTTAAGGGCTTTAGAACCTAGTGAGGGATAACAGAAAAGGGAGCAGATACATTATAATGCAGTGTAAAGATTTTTATAAAGGGGATGTAAAATAAGGAATATCACAATGTTTAAAATATCTCTATCCCTTTAGGTTTCTTGATGGGATACAACCTATGTGTGTTGCTATCTGGTCAGATTATTGTAACCAAATTTTAACTATTAACTATAGTACAATTCCCGTTAATGAATATTATCCTCTATTTAAAAAGTTACTTCTGCTATGTATTGTTTAAATGTTGTGTTTTAGGTCATATTGAGAAGGTTATCTTCTTGTGGTCCCTGTGTAAGGCTATACTCTTTTAGATAGTGTAGTCATTCTTGAAGATGTTGATCCTCAAAGATAATAATAATAATAATAATAATAATAATAAACCCCAAACACAAACTCCTCAAACAAACCCAGGCAGGAGAAGAGAAACCCAGATTCTCTTCTGATCTATCTGGGTATAGACCTTGGTGAGGAGAGATGCCAATCAGTGTTTATGGGAGTTGAGATTGCTCCTGCACCTTGGATGTGAGCTGAGGCTAAAGAAGAGACCCTAGTAGTCAGTCCCATGCTGACAGTGAATAAAAGATACTTGAAAATATAATATATAATTTCATTTAACTTATGCGTTAATTTCCTTGTTATTCCTTAGTCATATGAAGGCAAATGCCATAAAGCTGCTCTCAACTTTCTTTTCTACTTTCTTTTAAAAAAATATGATGCTATTAATTTCAAAGAGTAAGGGGGAGGAAGAGAGGGAATCATTGATCGGTTTGCCTCTTGCATGCCCTCTACTGGGACTGAGTCCACAACTTGGGCACATGCCCAGACTAGGAATCAAACCATGATCTTTTGGTTCATAGGTCAAGGCTCAACTACTGAGCCATATCGGCGGGGCTCTTTTCTACTTGAAAGTCATCCTTTATCTGATTCTTCCTTCTATTATTCTCCTACTTTTGCTTTCTGGAGCATCTTTCAGTCATATAATCCTGACAAGAAGGGGAAGGGTTCCTCTATTATAGTCCCCAACTGTTGGAACAGATGTCAGATGGCTTCTCACCACTACATCATTAATGTATGCAATTGACACAGCAGTATCTGAACTTCCATGGTTATGTGCAAAGCATTCAGTTGCATTTTACTAATTCCCCAAGACCAAGTCTCTTTCGGATAAGCCAAATACTTATTTGGCACTTATGGATCCATGCTGCTGGCACTTATGGATCCATGCTGCTGCAATAACCAGGTGGAGGTGGAACCACATCTGAGGGTGTACGGAGAGGAAAAGAGGCAAAGTTTGTACCATAAAAGATGGAAAGAGCTCATCTGCACATCCAGCCATCCTTCCTCCCCTATTGAGCATATGGCAGGGGCATCTAATATCGGCCATCATCCCCTCCCCACCTCTCCAATGTTACATGGTGCAATTTTGTGCCAACTTTCCTTTTTCTTCTTTCATAAGGTTTTCCTCCCAAAATTGTTCATTTTAACTCATATTTTCCTATATAAAAATGTTAGGAGTAGCCTTATGCTATGTAATTTATTCTGAGCCATTAATCCACACCACTTGGAATGGCTTTGTACGAAGTATATAATGGAATATTTAGAAGAAAGAGGGCAGTTATATAACCATACACCATCTGTTGTGTCTCTTGTTGATAAGCCATCCACTACAGTTTCAATTTTATTTTACTTCCTATTTTTAGTATTATTATTTATACAGTTTCTTAAAATGAGTATCTTAGCCTGTTCCTCTGACTATAGTGAAATACCATAAACAAATAGATTTTAAGCAACAAGTATTTATTTTTCACAGTTCTGAAACCTGGGGAATCCAAGGTCATTGTGCCAGTAGATTTGGTGTCTGGTAAGGGCTTTCTGGTTAACAGAATAGCATCTTTTCACTGGGTCTTCACATGTTGGAAGGAGTTACAGAGCTCTCTGTGAGGCATCTTTTATGATAGCCCTTATGATCTAGTCACCTTCCAAATGTCCCAATTCCTAACACCATCACCTTGGGGATTACATTTTAAGGGGTGAGTTGTTAGGGGACACACAGCAGAGAGTATCTCCTTTGGTGCACAGACTAAATGGAACGATAGCCTAGACTGGAAGCAAGGAACATTCACTGGTGCACATCAGATGTCTACTATGTTTCAGGTACTATGCTACGTCCTACCGTGAAGTATTCACAGTGTAGAGGTGTTTTTAAATAAACCCAGAGTGCCAAATTTTTAATTCTTATGGAGGAATATAATTGTAATGCCAGACCTCAAGAGCCATTCTTTTGCTAAAGACAGATCAATAAAGGAAGCCAAACTACAACCAAAAGGTCCTGGTTGAGCAGAAACGACATAGGAATACATAATAAAGCCATTGCTACTTCCACTTATTCATTTAGCAAATATTGTTTAGTGCTATCTTGATGATAGCTTGTTTTAATTTTTATGTTTAACTGAAATTACTTAAATATAAAATTATTAAATGCATTTACTTAAAAATTTGAGGTCTGCACACAAAACTGTACTTAACCAATACCCTATAATTTTTTATATTCTTTTTAGAAATAAAGGTCAATGGTTATCGATGACATATTTAAATGAAAGAAAAGGTAAATCAATACAATATTGATGCATAGTCTATGAAGGCAGTCACATAATCCTCATCAGCTTATTTTTATAAGAAAGAGATTTGACTATACTGTATTCTTGCACATTCATTGTATAAAAAAGTGAGTTAGATGATAGCGTAGGCTGCTGTGAGGTTTGCATTATGCATCCCTTGTAGATGCATTTGATGACTTTTTTGTGCTCCAGGATTTTTTCCTATTTCACCCCAGAGATAAACTGAAAGTACACTTTTATTAATCACAGAGTACCTAACTCATATGGGCCTTCAACAAAATGTAACCATAGTATTGGGCTAAGAAAGACTTAGAAGTAGCATCTTGTATGTGACTTTCACATAAGTGAAAAAGGAAAGGGAAAAAAAGCTATGTTTCAATAGGGATTTCTATTAGTCCAACTCTGGGTTATTTGCTGAGCTTTGAAAGAACTGAATGGCAGAATCGATTCACTCTTTTTACAACTGCTACTTAAGAAAGAGTGATTATCTACACAGTGTTTCAAATGTTTCAGCTTGAACAATGTATGATTCTGGACTCAAAAGTCCATAGC